AACAGAGAGAAACACTGCCTGGTCCTGCACCATCCTCACTAGTCTTGCCATGCTTGAGCCCATCATTGTAGCCTTTTTGTCAATCCATCTTGTTGAGGGTCTTCCTCTCTTTCACGGACCCTCTACTTTACCAAGCATGATGTCCTTCTCTGGGGATTGATCTCCTTCTGATAACATATCCGGAGTAAGTGAGGCAAATTCACTCCTTCCTTGCTTCTAAGAAGCATTCTGTCTTCATGTCTTCCAATACAGATTTGTTCATTCTTCTGCCAGTCCATGGTATATTCAGTATTCTTCACCAACACCACAATTAAAAGGCATGAATTCTTCTTCAGACTTCCTTATTCATTGTCAAGCTTTCCCATGCATGTGAGGCAATTGAAAATATCATGGCTTGGGTCATGATCACCTTAGTCCTCAAAGTGACATCTGACGCCCCGTTCTTCTTCATACAGTCCAGTTTCATGGGTTATTTGTTCAGCATACAAATTTAGTAAATATAGTGAAAAGATACAACCCTGATGCACACCTTTCTTGATTTTAAACCATGCAGTATCCCCTTGTTCTGTTCGAATGACTGCATCTTGGTCTATGTACAGGTTCTGCGTGAGCACAGTTAAGTGTTCTGGAATTCCCATTCTTTGTAATATTATCCATAATTTATTATGATTTGCAGAGTAAAATGCCTTTGCATAGTCAATAAAACATAGGTAAGCATCTTTCTGGTATTCTCTGTTTTCAGCCAGAATCTATCTGATATCAGCAATGACATCTCCTGTTCCATGTTCTCTTATGAATCCCGCTTGAGTTGCTGGCAGTTCCCTGCTGCAACTGCTTTTGAATGCTCTTCCACAAAATTTTACTTGTGTGTGATATTAATGATATTGTTTGATAATTTCCACATTCTGTTGGATCACCTTTCTTTGGAATGGGCACAAATATGGATCTCTTCCAGTCAGTTGGCCAGGTAGCTGCCTTCCAAATTTCTTGGCCTAGACTAGTAAGCACCTCTAGCGCTGCATCTGTTTGTTGAAACATCTAAATTGCTATTCCATCAATTCCTGGAGTCTTGTTTTTCACAAATACCTTCAGTGTAGCTTGGACTTCTTCCTTCAATACCATCGGCTCTTGATCATATGCTACCTCCTGAAATGGTTGAACATTGACCAATTCTTTTTGGTACGGTGACTCTGTGTATTCCTTCCATCTTCTATTGATGCTTCCTGAGTCATTCAATATTTTACCCATAGAATCCTTCAATATTGCAACCACTGATCTGTCAGTTTATCATACTGTGGTGGCTTGTGTGTTGCTTTGATGCTGGAAGTTATGCCACCAGTATTTCAAAGACCAGCAGGGTCACCCATGGTGTACAGATTTCAGCAGAGCTTCCAGACTAAGACAGACTAGGAAAAAGGACATGGCAGTCTACTACTGAGAAAACTGGCCAGTGAAAACCTTATGAATAGCAGTGGAACATTATCTGATATAGTGCCACAAGATGAGCCCCTTAGTGTTGGAAGGCACTCAAAATAAGACTGGGAAAGGGCCGCCTCCTCAAAGTAGAGTCGACCTTAATGACCTGGTTGGAGTCAAGCTCTTGAGACCTTCATTTGCTGATGTTGCATGACTCAAAATGAGAAGAAACAACTGCAAACATCCATTAATAATTGGAACGTAGAATGTACAAAGTATAAATGTAGGAAAATTGGAAATTGTCAAAAATGAAATGGAACACATAAAGATCAATATCCTAGGCATTAGTGAGCTGAAATGGACTGGTATTGGCCGTTTTGAATTCGACAATCATATGGTCTTCTATGCCAGGAATGACAAACTGAACAAGAATGGCATCATGTTCATCACCAAATAGAACATTTCAAGATATATCCTGAAGTACAATGCTATCAGAGACAGGATAATACCCATACACCTACAAGGAAAACCAGTTAATACGAAGACGACTGTTATTCAAATTTACACACCAAACACTAAGGCCAAAGATGAAGAAATTGAAGTTTTTTTTAATCAACTTCTGTAGTCTGAAATTGATTGAACATTTAATCAGGATGCATTCATAATTACTGGTGACTGGAATGTGAAAATTGGAAACAAAGAAGAAAGATTGGTAGTTGGAAAATATGGCCTTGGTGATGGAAATGATGTCAGAGATCACATGACAGAATTTTGCAAGACCAGCGACTTCTTCATTGCAAATGCTTTTTTTCAACAACATAAATGGTGACTATACACATGGACCTCACCAGATGGAATACACATGAAACAAATTGCCTATATCTGTGGAAAGACAGGATGGAAAAACTCAGTATCATCAGTCAGAACAAGGCTGGGGCCAACTATAGAACAGACCATCAACTGCTCATATGCAAGTTCTAGTTGAAGCTGAAGAAAATTAGAACAAGAAGTACGACCTTGAGTGTATCCCACCTGAATTTAGAATAGATATGATGCAGTGAACACTAATGACAGAAGACCAGAGGAGTTGTGGAATGACATCAGGGACATCATACATGAAGAAAGCAAGAGGTTATTAAAAAGACAGGAAAGATAGAAAAGACCAAAATGGATGTCAGAAGAGACTCTGAAACTTGCTCTTGAATGTCAAGTAGCTAAACCAAATGGAAGAAAAGATGAAGTAAAAGCTGCACAGAAGATTTCACAGGGCCATCAAGAAGACAAAGTAAAGTATTATAATGACATGTGCAAAGACCTGGAGTTAGAAAACCAAAAGGGAAGAACACGCTCAGCATTTCTCAAGCTGAAAGAACTGAAGACAAAATTCAAGCCTCAAGTTACAACACTGAAGAATTCTATGGGGAAAATATTAAACAACACAGGAAGCATCAAAAGAAGAAGGAAGGAATACACAGTCACTATACCAAAAAGAATTGGTCAATGTTCAACCATTTCAGGAGGTAGCATATGATCAGGAACTGATGGTACTGAAGGAAGAAGTCCAAGCTGCACGGAAGCCACTGGTGAAAAACAAGGCCCCAGGAATTGACAGAATACCAGTTGAGATGCCTCAACAAATGGATACAGCGCTCTATGTGCTTACTCATCTATGCCCAGAAATTTGGAAGACAGCTACCTGGCCTACCAACTGCAAGAGATCCATATTTATGCCTATTCCAAACAAAGATGGTTCAAACGAATGTGGAAATTATTGAAACAATATCATTAATATCACACGCAAGTAAAATTTTGCTGAAGATCACTCAAAAGCTGCCTCAGCAGTGCGTCGACAGGGAACTGCCAGAAATTCAAGCCAGATTCAGAAGAGGACGTGGAACCAGGGATATCATTGCTGATGTCATGTGGATCCTGGCTGAAAGCAGAGAATACCAGAAAGATGTTTACCTATGTTTTATTGACTATGCAAAGGCATTCAACTCTGTGGATCATAGTAAATTATGGATAATATTGCAAAGAATGGGAATTCCAGAACACTTAATTGTGCTCATGAGGGACCTGTACATAGATCAAGAGGCAGTCATTCAAACAGAACAAGGGGATACAGCATGGTTTAGTCAGTAAAGGTGTGTGTTAGGGTTATATCCTTTTACCATACTTATTCAATTATGCAGATGACACAACCTTGCTTGCTGAAAGTAAAGAGGACTTGAAACACTGATGAAGACCTAAGATTACAGCCTTCAGTATGGATTACACCTCAACATCAATAAAACAAAAATTCTCACAACTGGACCAATAAGCAACATCATGATAAATGGAGAAAAGATTAAAGTTGTTAAGGATTTCATTTTACTTGGATCCACAATCAACGCTCATGGAAGCAGAAGTCAAGAAATGAAAAGGATGTATTGCATTGGGCAAATCTGCAAAAGACTTTAGCATTCAAAAGCAAAGTGCTCAAAGATATCACTTTGAGGACTAAGGTGCACCTTACCAAAGCCATGGTATTTTCAATTCCCTCATATGCATTGGATCTGCACAGTAAGAAAGACTGAAGAACTGATGCCTTTAAATTATGATGTTAGTGAATAATATTGAATGTACCATTGACTGCCAGAAGAAAGAACAAGTCTGTCTTGGAAGAAGTACAGCCAGAATGATCCTTAGAAGTGACAATGAGGCTTCATCTGATGTACTGTGGACGTTTTCAGGAGAGGCCAATCCCTGGCGGACATCATGGTTGGTAAAAGTAGAGGGTTAGTGAAAAAGAGAAAGACTCTCAAGGAGATGGATTAACACAGTGGCTGCAACAATGGGCTCAAACCTAGCAGCCATTATGATGGCACAGGACGGGCAGTGTTTCCTTCTGTCGTACACAGCGTTGCTGAGTAGGAACTGACTAGATGGCACCTGACAAATCCATACAGGCTAACTTGTTTAATGATGAACGTATATTAGTAATTCTCAAATTGTGTTTTATGATCCTCCTGCATCGAATCACCTTGTAATGTTTATTTCAAGACCCAATTCCACAACCACTGAATTAAGGTATTGGGAATAGGGAAAATCAAATACTCAGTGGACACTGGGAATCTCAAGAAGTAGAAAAATAGATCCACTCAATTTTGTTTTTAGGTGCTGTTGACTCCATTTTTGACTCAGCAACCCCATGTGACAAGAGTAGAGCCATGCCCTAGGGTTTCCTAGACTGTAATCTTCACAGGAGGCCTGGTAGCACAGTGGGAAAGCGCTCTGCTACTAGCTGAAAGGTCAGCAGTTCAACCCACCAGCCTCTCTGCCAGGAGAAAGATGTGGCCGTCAGCTTCCATAAAGGTTACAGCTTTGGAAACCCTGTGGGGGCAGTTCTATCTACTCTGTCCTGTAGGGTTACTATGAGTCAGAATCGACTGGATGGCTATGGGGTTGTTTTTCTTTTTGATTAATCTTTACAGAAAGAGATCACCAGGTCTTTCTCCTGTGGAGCTGCTGTGTAGTAGGTTTCAATGGCCAATGTTCGGTTAGCAGCTGAGTATTTAACCTTTTTAATTCAGCTGTTTCCAGGATTAAGATGTTTATCAAAATAAAAGATACACATTATTTATTAAGCTTGTAATAATTTTATTAATAACAGGAACAAAATTTATATTTACATGTATATACAAAACAGACTTTATTCATACTTTCATATATAAAAATACAGAAATATTTACATACGTACAAAAATATTAAAACACAGACTTCAGAAATACGAAAAACAGAGAAGATATTACAAAGGCTATTTTTTGGGAAATACACACACTGAAAGAGATTTAAGAAAGGTGACAAAACATTTAAATCAACAGACTCCAGAAGTTGATATCTGCATTGGTATTAATTTGGTAAGGCAAATAAAATGTCTCAATGTAATCAATATTTAAATTTAAGATCGCCCAGGTAAAATTATATGGCCTTCCTTTACCATAATACTGAATCAATTTTATTTTACTCTTAGAATCACAAATAACAGGTAACTGCCTAACTAGTTTTCCTTTCTTAAAATATTAAATTTTCTGATCTGTTGTGAAAATTTTAAATTTCTTCACATTAAATTATATAAAATGTTTCAAGAGGTTGTGTGTCCTCTTTATTCACTGGGGAAAAAGCCCCAAGTAACTAATATCAATTTGAATATAAAACTGAAAATCAGAACACATTTATTTTCATAAATTAAAACCTAACATCTTCTACCTAACCTTCATGGTCAATTACAATCGGTTTAATAACAAGAGATCACAATCTTCGTAAATTCTTTTTGCTTTTTTTACTACCAGGCAGAGGTCCCATTTTACAACTGGCTCTTAGAGGCTTGCCATTGGAACAGTTTTTGGCGGTGTGATAGTCACAGAGACATCTTGTACAATAATCAAACCCACAGCCTTCTCGTTTGCAGACGGCTCGTTGTAAATAGCCGTCATATTTTGCTGGTGAATGACAGCGAACACAGGCTTTAAGACTTTCATTATTTTTCAAAGTCTTAGCAACCTAGAAAGAAAAGAATTCATTAACAAATTTAAGTAAGGACTGAATGTAATTTAATTAATAAACCAAGAAGGGCATACTAGCATCATGAGGTAAGAAATATGAAAGCAGTGGATAAGAAATCTAAACTCTCCATTAAAACTTTTCACCTCTCCTCATTCCCCAATACATGTACAAAACACCAATTTTACACATAAGACAAGTCCCACCCTTAAGGAGCTTACTGTTCAGTGGGTGAGAGATAACATTACTTGTCAACAGTTCTGGTGGCTACTTCCTACTGCTACTTTAAATATTTTTTTTTTACTTCATGAATGTCGTTCACTCATGTATCAATGCCTAACTAAAATGGAGCAGTTCTATTCTGGAATACACAGGATCACCATAAGTTGGAACCGACTCAAAGGCAACCAGTTTGGTTTTGGTTTATCACATTATATAGCATTTATTTCTATGTAGCTACCTCCTCTTCTAGATTGTAAGGATGGCAATGCCACTGTTTTCTCTTATCTATGCAGTACCTGATACATGGAGATGCTCAAGAAATGCTTTTTGAAAATAGTTGCGTATTGTATCACAGCCATTAAATCACAAACATTTAAGATAGGAAACTACCACCACTACCAGTTGCCATGGATTTGATCCTGAGTCATGACAGCTATTACACAGTTTAGAATGAAGGGGATAGGGATAAGAGCCTCCCTCCCACTAATAATTCCCTAATAGTGCTAATGATATAATTAAATTTAAATGACTATTCTCATCAGAGGAGCCCTGGTGGTGCAGTGGTTAAGAGCTTGGCCTGCTAACCAAAAGGCTGGCAGTTTGAATCCATCAGCTGCTTCTTGGAAAACCTATGGGGCAGTTCTACCCTGTCCTGTGAGCTGATATGACTCAGAATTGACTCAACAGCAACAAGTTATCCTCATCAGATGTCTAAACTTGGTAGGGAACAAATTAGCTAGCTTTTATCTAAGGCCAGATGACATTTTGACCTTAAAAATTCCTTTTAACAATAAATGACCCATGTTTCTAATTTATTAAATAAACAAAAACTTACCTCAGAGAACTCATTGTGTCGACTGTAAGCAGAACCTTCCTGATCACGTTGATTGGGTAACTTGGATCGAGTATCTGTTTTTGGGAGAGTCTGGGCTGCTGCTTTTTGAACAGAAGCTAATGCTGTTCTGAACATAATATGTTCCCTGGTTGAAGCATGTGGTGAAAACTTAGTAATATTTTCCTAATTAAAAAAAAAAAAGTTTTATAAGAACTAAAAAAACTATTACCTCTATTCTCAGCAATCACAGATTTTTATTATGGTTGTATACACAAGGGCAAACTAGAATGTAAACAATTTATCCTTACATCCAATTTACCTGCACATGCTTAAAGAGACATATAACCAGATATCTGAGGCCTAATATCTAACACTAATTGCAGACATTTTGAACCAGAAAATTGTGAGAAAGCACTTTACATGCTTAGTCTAGAAACCACTTACCACTTGCTTTATAACTAACTATGTCAAAGTCCTACTGTCAGCACAAAAGGTCATTCTTCCCACAACCAGTAGATGGTGACAGTCACTTTTAAGTGTCACCTTAGCATTAGGAAGATTTCAAAACCTTTCAGATCAGAAAATTCCCCATTATTAAGACCAGTTTATCAATAAAGAAACTGAACTTGGAGCATTAAGCACTAAAAGATGGACCTAATAAGTCTAACTCAAAGGCCTGAACTTTTAATCATGTATTGATCTTGATTCTCAGAAACATTTCCAAAGTTACTATTTTGGAAAGTAAACACACGCCCTCCTACATAAAGGATCGTCAATACATTGATAATTTACTGTTTTTCTAGTAACTGGAAAAAATTTTTTTTTTCATATTCCTTATTTTTTAATAACCAAGAAATGCAAACAAAACTGCTTTTCCAAATTTTCCAAAATTTATTTATATAGACATACATACAGACGGCAACCACTGGCTCTATGGTAACCTCTCACAGTATGGAACTGAGTAATTTACCCTTTGTTACTTTTATATGTTATATTTCTAGGAAGCATCCAAGAAATGACTGTGGTGGGATTCCTTTCTCCTTATTTTTGAATAAAAAACAAAAAACAAACAAACAAAAAAAAGAGCTCTAGTGAAAGGCCGAAGTACTTTGTGAATGTAAAAGGATTTCCAGGTTACCTGTTATCGTTCCCATTTCTCGATCCTATTTCTAAAGATAACAGAGTACTATCAGTGTATTTTAACAAGGAAAACATTAACTATAAAGACTTACAGAAACTCTTTGCATGGCTTTATTGTACAATTGGAATGCCTCCTTATCATCTTCAAGAATCTTCTTCCAAGTTGTACTCACTTTAGCCACACTGGAAAAGTAAATGCTTACAATTAAAACATCACAAAGATCTAAGATAAATATATTCCAAAAACATTAAGTGTCCCCACCTACCACTGCCACCAAAAAAAGGGAAGAAATCACATTAGCAGTGGTTCTTAAAACCTGGCTGAATTTTTGAATTGTCCAGGGCACTTAAGATTTAAGGATGCCCCATGTCTAATCATTTTTATTTAACTGGTCTAACAAGGGGCCCAAGCTTCTGCATTTTTTGAGAACTCCACACCAAGTAATTCAAAGTGCATTCAGGCTTAAAAACCACTGCATTGTACTTAATTTTTTTTTTTTTAAACAATGTCTGTTTAAGTATCAATAAGTTGTCCCCATAGTATATAGAGTACCATGTTAGTAGTGTATTTGATAAAGGTTGTAGACAAATTTCATAATACTCTAGGGCAAACTGCTTTTAGCACAAATCAATATAAGTTTCCCAAGAAACAGTCATAACCAGATCCCTGTATTTTCATTGTTGTCAAACCTAGGAGTCCTCCTCAAAATGTTAAATTCATACTTTCAGGTATGATAAAAATCACGCCTATTGGACCTGTAGGGTGGAACCAGGCTGTTGTTTTATAGCTAAGAATGAAAGACGCAGCTTACATGTTAAAAAATTTTAGAACTGAAGGGAACAAAGATCTTCATCTAATAGAAATAATTTTCTAATGGTACAAATATAAAATTTGAAATGACTGGATTAAGCGCATTTCTTTATCTCGAGGGCACACAGGTAGTAAAATACCATCTCTCAGGCAGAACTCTTCATTGAACAACACTGAAAAAGACTACCCGACACCATTCTTTGATGAGGCAGTGGTACTGAACCACATAACAAAACTGTTCAGTTGGTTATGATATACTTAAAGCAACAAATACTTACTTGATTAAGTCCATATCATTGAGCTGTGCTAAAATATCTGCTAGGAGAAGTTTGAGTCCTCTTCGAAAAAGTTCACTGAGGATATCTACACATTCTAGGCCCATTTTCCTGCCAATTATATTTTGTAGTCTAAAATTTCCACTGGATATAATTTTCTTTAGAATCTCTCGATCTACTTTAGGATTTCGTTTGACGTTCTTTTTTAATGTTGAACAAACGACTTTTTCAAAATGAAGAACTGGCAGCAAGTTTTTGTTGGGATATTGGCCTGGGCTTTGTGTCTGTAGCAGGCAGGACTGTGGACTGTCACTAGTATTTTCCTCCAGGAGAAGGCTACCCTCTTCATGTTCATTTAGGCCACTTTGTTGAGAAAATGAGGAATAGCCACTGTCTTCATAAAATCTACTGGTCTGTAGTTCTTCTATTTCATTCGACCTGTCAAGTATTTGTTGCACATGTTGATTTTCCTTGTTATGCAAAGGCTTGCTTTCAGTTTCAAGTTCTACAGATGTGGGGCTCACAATAGGTGATCCAATATATGATAACCTTTCATAGTCTTTAATGCAGGCTTTACAAGAACCTTCCAAATATGCAGGAGTGCAGGAACCCAACCTTCCACCATCAACAGGTTTTACCAGTTTAAGTCCAGAATGAACACAGTCACAATTAAAATCACACTTCATTTTGGCAGAAAGAGTGGTATTTTCTTCTTTATAACCTACAAAAAAATCCACAACATATTTATTTCTTAATGGCAAAATTTTCACACATTCCTAATTCTTAAACTGGGATATATACAGATTTAACTACTTTGTATCCTCTCAGCACTTGTATATATTGCTTATGTTGTTGTTGTTAATTGCCTCTGACTGAATTCTGTATTATGGTGAGCCCACATGTGCGCAGTAGAACTGCCCCACAGGGTTTTCAAGGCTATGAACTTTCGGAAGCAGACTGCCCGGCCTGTCTTCTGAGGTGCCTGTGGGTGAATTTGCACTGCCAGCCTTTGGGCTAGTAGTCGAGCACTTATCTGTTTGAGCCACTCAGGGACTCCCAACTGCTGTACTTGCCTATAGAGCTGTCAAATTATCTAAGTTTAATTATTGAGATGTGGCAAAAATACGATGAAATATTACTTAAATCTTACAAAGGGTACTTCAGAACAGAGTGCCTCTGGCTGTGTACAACTATAACATTTATATCTGATTGAGTTAAAGATGGGGGGAAGAGGTTACTTAATAAGTGATGAAATTTGATACATCAAAAGTGTGGAGTCTGAAGTCAAAGTTACCTTTAGAGTAATCACATACTTCCAGAATCACTGTTTACACCCTGGACTTAAAGTAGCATTATAGTTAGCTTTGACTTATACACGATCCACGCCACTGACTAAAAATGGTTAGTTAAGACCAGTAGGGAAAGGGCATGTATAAGGGTAAAAACAGTCTTAACAAACATGATATATTACATCATGCCTCCTGAGGCTTAGTCAATCTCAGGCCCCCATATGGTCTCTCCTTCTTGGTCTGGTCAGCCCCCTACTTATTAGCCTCAGGAACCAAGATTAAAGGCCAAATTACTTTTTGCCAGGTGACTCCTCACCTCACAAAAAATAGCACTCCATACAGTACAAAACCAGATATAAAAATGTGAGGGTGGTAAGAAGGTGGGTGCAAATTACTGTTCAATTGTGTTAGGATGTTATTCCTTAGAACTCATAATGATTCATTAACTTTATCTTCAAGAAAGTCAAAGACTTACTCAGCATTGTAGCAATTCCCAATCCCCCATTTGCATTTGCACAGGGTCTGTGAAATCCCTGAAGATAGAATAGAGCATCGGGCAGCATTTTAAGATAGCACTAGAGGTAGGGAAGGGCATTCAGTAAAGGATAACTTCAGCAACAGGGGAAAAGTGGGAAAGAATATGGTAGATGGGGTTAGCAAAACTATTTATAGCATTGTTGAAGGCAGAGTATATGAGTAAGGAACACTGGGGACGTAAGACAAGGAAATCCTCAGAAAGTCTTGAATGCCTGGTTAAATGTTAATGTTTCAAACGTACCCCATCTACCACTCCCCTACCTCAAGCTAATCATATGTAAGTAATATTTTATCCTATAAGTGAATGTACATACCAGTCCCTATGTTTAGTTTGTACTAAATACTGGTACTGTCCATATCAATTTAACCTTTTTTTGCTTAAAGAAAGCCTTTCAAATCACAGTACCAAAGAATACCTTGATAGAAAGGAGCCTTGTAGGTAGAGACTGCCTTTAAATTCTCAATGTCTAACACAGTGACAGACACATAGTAGGTGCTCCAGGATCCCACTAAACCTTGGACAAAACCTAAAATTTAGGTTTAAAGGAAAAGTACAAGGGCATAAAAAAGTAAATGAAAAATACAAATTCCCTAATTCTAGAACAAATTATAAAATTCTGAGATTGTTCCTATTTCTAGGCCAACTAAAGAATTAAGCCTGATTTACATATGACCACAATTTATCTGAGAAGATAAAATCAAAGCAGAAGGCTGGTACAGAGGCACACCCTATGCTGTCTGACTGCCTAAAGCAAAGAAGCCTGAAAGTATACTTCAGGAACTCTTTTTCTTTTAATTTCTTTCAAAGGCATTCTCCATCTGCCCTATTTTTAGAACTGAGTTACTGGGAGACCATCCTATAAAACCAAAAACTAAACCCATTGCCTTCAAGTCAATTCCAACCCATGGCGACCCCAAATGACCGTGACCTTTCAGAAACAGATGACCAGGACTTTCTTCTGTGACACCACAGGTTGGATTTGAACCGCGAACTTCTCAGTTAGCAGCCGAGAGCGAACTTCTCAGTTAGCAGCCGAGAGCAAACTGAAACCCAGGGACTGGTCAGGTATTTTGTAAAATGTCCCTCAATTTGAGTTTGTCCTGTATGTTCTCATGGTAAGACTAGGGTTAGGTTTTTAGGAGGAAGGCAACAATAAAGTGCACTGTCATCACCACATCATATTAAGAGTACATGCTATCAACACTATTGATTACTGATATGTTAATCACCTGGCTGAGGGAGTGTTTGTATACTGTGAAGTTATTCTTTTTCCTTTTTCATACCACACTCCTTGGAAGAAGTCACTATTCACAGCCCACACTTAAGAGTTTGCTTCACCTCTCTGAGGGTGAGGAAATACATAAATCTTAACAACACTGCAAAGTAAGTTGAATAAGTATCACCTTTTATACAAAAGAAAACTGAAGCAGACAGGCTAGAGCCCATGTTTCTTTTGACTAGCTCAATGCTTTCCAATTATCAAGCCAAGTGTTCCTAAACAATCCAGGAAATATAAGTTCATATAGTTGATCTGATATTAACCAGAAAGGGAGAAAATATTACATGGTTCTAAGACCTCTTGAATCAGAGAAATGAGAGTTAAAAGTCTAGTTCTGCCACTTCATTCATTTATCCAGTGCCCACTTAGTGACAGGGTGGGGGGAGGGGAAGATATCTAGAGAAGGTGACATTTTGAGATCTGAAAGCCTTATGACACTCTGGTGAAGACTGTTCCAGACTGAGGGAAACATGGGAAGGAAGAACAAGTTTAGAATGTTCAAGGGAGGAGAAAGGCCTGCATGACTGCAACTTAGTGAGCTAAAGGAAGAATGAAAAACAAGGTTTTGCTTGAAAAATAAATTTGGGAGGTTCTAAGTACAGGAGGGAAATTTGGTTTATATTTTAAAAAGACCATTGGCAGTTATGGATAATGGATTATAGAAAGGTAAAAGTAGAAGCCAGAAGACCAGTTAGGAGTGTATACCACAGGAGTTCTGAGAGTTGGGTACCCAGGACTAGGATGACTGCAGTGGAAATGAAGCTAATTGAATAGACTCAAGATATATTCAGGGGGGCAAAGCCAACAGAGCTTCCTGATGTTTTGGATGTGGATGGTGAGCAGAAAAGTAAAAAATACTGTGGGGTTTAAGGTTTGAGCAACTAAGGTAAAGTGTCATTTACTAAGTTGGGAAAAACTGAGGAACAAAGTTAACTCCTCTCCTTTTTCTAGAGTTAACTCTTTAAAGCCTCAGTTTCCTCATCCAAAAAATGAGTTACAGATAATAAAATAGCATTAAATGCATGGCAGAGTGCCTGTTACACAGGGATTAAGCAAAAGAATCTACTTTTATCACATTATTCATCATAAATCAAACCTTCATATTTTTTCTTTGCAAATCATGAACATTTAGAAGTAGTAAAATACATTCCACAGGAAAGTACACATTTCAAGACACTTCCAGTCCAAATGAAAATCCTTGTTCAGCCTTTTGACTAGCTTTGTGACCTTTTAAATGGAAGGTTCTGTTAGTCTCCGTTTCAGTTTCTCTAAAATGGAGGTACTAATATCTACATCAAGAGTTGTTGTAAAGACTCAACATACTGCATATTTTACACCTTTAACTAATTCACATCCCAACCATGAAAAAGTGGAATCATAGTTAAGTGTACAAAGTTTTACCTTCTATTTTACTTTTCAATATAGATCTTAAACTTCATATTGAAACACCATACTTAAATCAGGCCAGTTTTAAAAATTTTCCTAGTTCCTTCCAATATATTAGTTAATGAAGGTCTGCATTTCCCTGAAACTTAAAGATAAAACCACCATGGCGCCCAACTTTAGGCATGGTCATTCCTTTACTTAAGAATTTGAAAGGGCAAACTCTTGTGGCCATAAACTGCAAACTAGCCACAAACCTGAACATTTTAGAAGGGTCTACCTACAAAATTATCTAGATGCAAGAATTGCATTTCACTTCCTCAAACCTATAGACAGGGAGAGAAAAAAATTCCCGGTAAAATAAACGTTCTCTGAGGAGCAAGGCAGTAACGAAAACTGGAGTGAAACAATTAAAAAAAAAAAAAAAAAAACCTTCATGAAGCTATTAAGCTTCAGAATTTCGCAGGGAGACTTATGAAGATACACACTTAACCTGTTAAAAAAATAATTCTTTTTTTTTTATTTTGAGTGTTCTAGATTCTTTTTCTAATGAGAAGGGCATGTTTCAGTGATTATCAAATATTACAAAATTGAATTACAAAGTTTAATTTTTCATAATTTCTAAGATAAAATAATTGTTTTTGAATCTCTTAGAGAGCAAGAAAGGATAAAAATAAGCGTTTTCCACTGCCTTTCATTCTACGCAAGCTCTGGAATAAAGAAATATCCAATTCTTCAGGGGAAAAATAGTATCCAGTCTTCCCCAAATCAGCTAAATATGGGCTGATTCACTACTTTATATGAAAAAGTGCTCTTTTCCCTCCGCTTTCGACTCCAGACCTTGAAGCTGAGATACTGGGCAAAGGGAAAAAAGGGGAAAATGAACGTTTTTGTGTGGCCGTTTCAGTTGAGTTCGGCCCGAGGGGGGCCCTCTCCATTTGGCGGGAGTGGGCAGGGAGACCCTGAAATGCTGAGGGGCCGAAGGGATGGCCCCTCAGGGCGCGGGACGTGCGGAGGAGGCGGGAGATAACGCGAGCAGATCTCCCGCGCCCGCCACAGGACTGAGGCGAAAAATCGGGGACCTGTACTTCGGCTCTGAGGATGCAGGGTAGAAATAATCGAAACGGCGAGCAGGGAGAGGGGGTTCGGCACCTGGCCGGACCAGGGGGGCTGCTGGCTCGTGCGCCCTGTCAGAGCCAGAGGCCCTGGGTGGGGGAGGGGAGGGGGCATTTGGCGCCTACTCTGCGGGTGGGGATAGGTGGATCTCCCAGGAAGGCGAAAGCACGCCCTAGCAGCCACGGCCCCCGGCCCTCCTGGGGTGGCGCTCGGGTCTGGCGTGGCAGCGGGACCGGGGCCTGCCATCTCGCCTCGGCGCACGAGCCTCCCCTTCTGAGCCCCCCGGGCCTCTCACCCCGTCCCAGGAACGCCGCCGCCGCCGCCCAGCGTGTGACCGAACCCCCAGGTTCGGAGGATCCCGGGCAAGGGGTTGCAGGGTCACCACCCACCCCCTGAGGTGCGCCCCTTGCCTCGGCCCTCTCCCCTCACTCACTGTCCGAGGGGCGCGGGCGCCCAGTGGCTGTCAAGGGACTGCAGCGGCAGGAGCACGTGAGTGGACGTGAGCAGCAGCTGCAGGGGCTCCGGCTCATGCCAGCGGAGATGGCCTCAGCCTCAGGTGAGGGAGCAGCTAGAAGAGCAATAGCGCCCGCCGCTCTCTTCATAGAGCTGTATCATCTAAAAGGCGCCAGCTGGTACTTTTAAAATCTTTGAATTTGGTGCCCAAATCCACGCGGCCCAATAGGACGCGTCGCTCTCATACGCGCACCAATAGCGAGGCAGTGGGCGGAGGCGCCGCCAACCTAGGCCAATCCAACGCCCTGGAGGCGGGGTCGGCCTCCAAGTCCAGCCTCCTCGCATCTCGCCGGCTCCGCGCGTCCGAAAGAGATGCTGAGGCCGGGGCGGGGCCAAGGGCGGGGTCCCGCTGCACGTGGAGGAGTCCTACGGCGCATGTGCGCGCCCGCCAACCTTCCATCCATAGGCCTCCTGTGAATCCTGATTTCAGCCTGAAGACAGCTCCGGTTTCCGTCTGAAGATCTCCAATGAGTAGAAAGGGTAGCCGGCTTTCTTCGATCATCTCACAAGTGGTAGTTTGCTGAGCAGCGACTCTGGTCGTCCGGGAATCCAAACTTTCCGGAAGATGAACCCTCCCCCTTCCCTACTTACCCCGCCTCTCTAGGATTTACCTACGCGCTTCTCGCTCCCTTGTAATTTTGCCCCGCCCCTGCTCGTGCGTCTGCGTAGTCGCCCCTGGTGGGCGTGGCCGCAGAGTTGGCGGGTTGGCGCGTGCGCGCTGGAGTGCCCCGCGTTTCTCCCCGGGGACGGAAAAGGAGCTGGCAGCGGTGGGTGGTTCCGGGGTTCGCCTGCGCGGGAGGGCGGGGGACCGCCACTACTGTGGCGGGAGACCTGCAGCTGTGTGTCTCCCTGGAACTTTCCGGTGGGGGTGGGGATAGAGTCATTTCTTGTAAGCGCATTTATTTTCATTTGCAAACAGAGCTCTTCAGCCACCATTATTTTGTACGGACATCAGGTTTCTTGAGTTTGTATCTGTGCTCTCCTGGCTTTTTGTTTCTTTCCTTTAAGGGCTACGCGCAGGAAGCCTTAGTCTTGTACCAAAAAAGAGGCTTCACCAAGAATCCTCTTGTCGTGGCAGTTCAGTCCCCCCTCCTTTGTACTTGAGGCCCCTGGCTAAGTGAGTGCTTTTCTGGTGAGGGCTAGAGTGGGCGTCAGTATTAAGTCTTTGATGACAAATCGTACAGTATTGTTGGTCATGCTGATCTTTTTACTAGGTGTCTGTGCACTTAAGCAGTGACGGTGTATTTCCTGGACTCAGCTTTTGGCCACAGCACAGTAAAGCCACAGAATATAAACTCCAGAAAGTGCAGTTTCCTGGATTTTCTGTTTTCCTTTTCTTCTGCTCTTCTGCACCCTCGGAGAGAGTAGTTGGCTTACAGTAGGCGCTCAGTTCAATGGGCGGCAATTCCTGTATGAGGCGGGGAAGGAAGGTGCTAAATGAATCCTACTTTATGTAAAATTTTGATAATTACTTCATCATTGATTTTTTTGCATTAATTTTTAAGTTTCAGAAATGTATTAAAATAGTATTTATTGCCGACATTTTTGGTGTCCCCTTAAATTTTGCACCTGAGGAGAGCGCCTCACTCGCCTCACCTTAGGCTGACCCTGGAGATAAAAGTGTTGAAAGGACAAAGTCCTGTCCTTTAGGAAGTTTACATACTAATGGGGAAAAATTTTGACAACAGTTTCATGAAACGAAGAAAATAAGTAATGAGGTGGGGAGTAGGGGCAAAGATTAACTACTTTGGGAGGTCTGAAAGGTTTCTCAGGCCCTGGACCAAGGTCGAATGGCAACGCAAAGATCTGCATAATAGCCAGAAGGAAGAGACTGAACATGCTAGCTTGTTAAAAGTCTAGAAGGAAGACCAGGGGCTGACCAGAGCTCATTGAGCAAGGAAAAAAGTAGATGACATCAGAGAGGTAGGCAGATACCAGATTCTGTAGGACCTTGTAGGTTTACACGTAATTTGGAGCTTTTTCTGATTGCAAAGAATAGCTGTTGCAGGGATTTTAGCAAAGAAGTTATTTGTCGAATGATTATTAAAACTGATGGCTTTTCGTTTTGTGCTAGGCACTCTGTAAATGTTAGCCTTCAATTCTCACAATCACCTTAGCCTTTTCATTTTATGATGATGATGCTTAGAAGTTATTCCCACAGAACCACACAGCTAGTAAGTGAAGGTTCCATCCCTAGCTTTGGGATTCAAAAAGTCCAGGTACTTTTCCTCTGTGTTACGCTGGGGAATATTTGCTGGGCTCCTGATTGTTTATAGTACATTTTCACACGTCACTTCCCTTGTTTGGCCTTAGAGATCAGCTTTATTTTACTTTTATTTTCAGATGTGGATGGAAATACGAAATTTTAGGAGGAGGGTCCTCATTAAATTAGTTGAGTGTCTGGAATATAACCTTTGGATCATAACTACAGCTTAAAAGGTATTCTAGGTGATATAAAAAGCCAAGCATGTTTTCTTGCTTGCTGGGATAGTTTGTGTTTTTTTGTTTTATTAAGTTACTTGATCATTAATTTTAAATGATATTTGAGTTTCAATTGATCATGATGAAATATTCTTGAGGATTAACTTGTTGAGCAGATTCATGAATATCAATTTCATCTTTAGTGAGAAACTTTTTAGAACAGGCCATTTTAAATTTTATTAGATGGCAACATGGTTCTTCAGATTAGCATCAGTCAGAATTGTTGGGTTGTTAGGCACAAAATGAATTGCAAAGAGAATGCTTCTAATCTTTCAGCAGGTTCTTACGTGGACCTACAACATGGAAGACATTGTGGGGCTTATGGAAATGATTAGCGTGGTGCCTGCCACGTACTAGGTGCTCAGTAAATTTTTTAATAAAATAATCTCTGGGAACCGGGGTGGGAAGGGAATGTGGATAATGTGTCTATAATGGAACAATGAAGGAGTCAAATACATCTAAAGTTACAGTGGAGATTTTTATAGAACAGAGGAGTCACTTTTATGTGCCAGGATAAATGAATAAGCTGTAGGACAGGGTGATTTCTCACCTCGACACTATTGACATTTTGGGCAGTTTGTTGTTGGCAGCTGTCCTGTACATTGTCAGGTGTCTAGCAGCATCCCTGGCCTCTGTTGTTTTGACACCTGTCTCCAGACATTGCCAAGTGTCTCCTTGGGGAACATAATACACACTGCTGTAGAGGATGTCAATTTAATGGAATGGGGAGGAGGGAGGTTCTATGGCCTAAGGAACAAAAAGTGAAAGCGTAAATGCTGGTTGCATTTATTAGGAAAAATTAATATGATGTGGTATAAAGGGGGTGGCATATGAAATGGGCTAATAAATCATGCTGGATACAGATCATGGATGTGTTGAATGCATAGTTAAGAGCTGGGGTTTTATTTGGGAGGCTACCTCTGAAGTTGTTGAGCAAAGGAGGGACAAGACCACAGCCTTGCTTTTTAGGAAGATTAATCTGGTGGTTATTTCTGTGTAGCCTGAAGAAGAGAGCAGTCAGGGGGCTATGAAAGTAGTATGGAAGAGAAATAATTCTCAACAAGAGTAGCGGCAGTAGAATTGGAGAGGATTAGAGCGTTTGCAGTAGGATTTAGCAATAACTTGAATGGGAGGATGAGGAAATCAAAGATGACAGATGACTACATGTTAAATTTGGGAGGGAGAACGGTAGTGCCATTAAAAAACAAATCACATGATGAGAAAAGTTGTAGAGGAATATGACACGTTTCATTTTAAATAGTGATTATCTTCAGAATCATTCTAGAGTGAATTTGATTAACTTTGGTGCTGTATGCCCTTTTGAAATTAAGTTCAATTTGGCTCTTTTTGAACAATAAACCAGATTTATACACAAATACTTTAACTATAATTGCCTTTTAGACATCTATTCATTGCCTGTTATAGCAAGTTAAGTCCATAAGAGACAAGAATTAAGAAGAGTCTCTTCCATTAATGAGATGGAATGAGAGGTGTATCAGTGTTTGTTCGTTCTCTTTCCTGGCCCACCCTCTTCCCGTTCACTTATTAAGCACACAGTCTTTAGACAGGAGTAAACCAGTAAGTTTACTACCCAGGGATAAATGTGGTCATACAGGTATGGTAAAGTTCTATGGGAATGCAAGTGAAGGAGCAGTTAATTCTGCCGAGGGGCTAAGGTGCCCTTTAGGTCAGACCTTGATATCTATCTGCACAGGCATGAAGACTATGTTTTCTAGGCAGAGGGGGCAGCAAAAGAAAAGGTAGGTAGGAGTGACAATGCATGGTTTATAAATGAGAGCTATGTAGATGGCATGTCTGTGCAAACGTACAAAATGCCAAGGTCCTTAAAATGTTAAGACTTCAGGTTCTAGTAGGCTCCACGCCAGGAATTATGGGACTCTATCCTTACCCTTCCTAAGTTTCAAAAATTACACTTGGTCATCTTGGAATAGCTAGATTAATGTGTAAAGCAGCAGCCAATGTCAGTTCACAGACCAGAATTTGTCCATTACTGTGCATGTATTCATGATAACCAGTAAGCCAACTGCCATTTAGTCAACTCGGACTCATGGCGACCCTATGTGTGTCAGAAGAACGGTGCTCCACAAGGTTTTCAATGGCTGTTTTTTGTTTTTCTTGAAATTAGATTGCCAGGCTTTTCTTCAGAGCCACCTCTGGGGGAACTCAAACCTCCAGCCTTTCAGTTAGGAGCTGAATGTGTTAACTGTTTGCATCACCGAGGGATTCCCTGTTCATATTACCGATGTGGTTTGTTTCCTAACTGGACGCTAATACAATATTTATTGTCATACACCTGTTTTCTTTTATGTTTGAAGTTATCCATGATAGAAAGTTACAGTAAACCAAATTTTTAATCATTCATTAAATATTTTACATAAAACAACAGACTATTTTTTTGTCTACTTCTGAGATCACACAGAGTCCAAGATTTACAACCAGTCATGATTATATTGTATGTTTTTTACTAATACATTGAAAGAGATTTATATAAATTATCTGTCATAATAAGAATATGGATATTATTCTCAACTGTGTTAACCTATGTTTTTCAAGAGAATATTGGCGAGTATTTACACACAGTGCGATCTGCTGCAGCAGCCTTTTTGTAAGTGATAAAAGGCTTCAACAAATCAATTTAAACTTTTTTGGAAATAACTTCTACTAAGGATTCATAATCAGCATATTCCTTTAGTGACTGTACAAGTTCATCTAGTAGATACTCTCCTTGCATAAAAGTTACAAGATCATGAAGTGACTTGTTTATTCTGTGATCTGTGACCCGGTTCTGTGGAAAATTATACGTTCTTATTTTCTCTGACCTTCCTTTAGTTCCAATCTATATATAAAAAAAAAAAAGACATGCAGTTAGATACACGCCAACTCGCACCTACAAATTTAACTATCTGGAGATTAAGTTCTTGATTTGTATTATGAAACACAATGCAAGAACCAAGTTTTACACATTTTGAATCCCCAAATGATATGGAAACACAATATACAGAAAAGAATATGGGCTTTTAAAGTCAGACATATTAGTCTCTGAATTCCATCTCTGCCACTTGAAAGCTCTAAGACTTCAAGAAATTAACTTCAACTCTATATGTTAGCTTCACCATCTATAAAGTACAAATAACAACACATATTACACACTGATGATGTATATAAAGAGCCTGGCACACAGCTGATACTCAAATGGTGGCTGAATATATTCAATCTCTGTGAATTACCAGTCAATCTTCAGTGGTGCCAAGGTGATGAATTACCCATACTTAGGGAATTCTTAAAAGGGCTTTGTCATTATAGAATTAAATACCAAAGAGGAAGAAAATAAGTTTGCTTTCCAACTTTTTTGCATCCATATTCTCAAATGATTCAAAATGAATCAATATAATATTTTTTATTAACTTTGCTTAGAACTATTAGAAAAATGCCCGATTGAAGAAAACAGGGCAAAGGTGTAAGATCACTATAATACAAGTACAGCCTTTGGTTAAGCTACTTAATTGTTTTCTTATTTTCACAATTAAGCCAATTTTGGCATATATAAAAACTAGGTTATCTAAAAATATATGATTTAGAAGCTTTTATAAAATTTGTTTACCTGAATCTTCCTAGCATTGTATCTTTTACTTGCTGCTGCTTCTAGATGCATGCTGTACAGCTTTGCACGTAACTTTTTCATAGCCATCTCTCTATTTTTCAGTTGAGATCTCTCTTGTTGGCATTCAGAAACAACACCTGAATAGTGTTATGAGAATTAAAGAGTTTTAATAGAAACATCTTCTTCATCTATTATCAAGGAACACTCCTTTTCCTTCTCATCCTTTTTCTTCTTCCTTTATGAGAGGAAAAGTAGGACTCTAATATAAAAGGAAGACCATCAACAAGTAACTTTCAAAGAGTTTATCAAAACACTGAAAATTTACATTTGAGTGGTAGTTCAAAGTATTTCCATATTGAAGGCGTACATACTGGACAATAAGTATATATCATTTAATGACAGATTGCTTTCCCACACCCTCAGCTGCAGCCACCGTATTTTTTTTAGGGTAATAACTACTCATTATAGAAGCTAAGATATAAAGAAGTTAAAAATCCTAGGGATTGGAAAAAAAACCCATTGCCATTGAGTTGATTCCAACTCCCAGCGACCCTATGGGACAGAGTAGAACTGTCCTATAGGGTTTCCAAGGTTGTAGTCTTCACTGAAGCACACTGCCACATTTTTCTCCTGTGGAGCAGCTGGTGGGTTCGAACTGCTAAACTTCCCATTAGCAGCTGAAGGCTTAATTAATCACTGTGCCACCAGGGCTCCTTTACTAGGGATGATCACTATTAATATTCTGGAGTAGTTCCTTCTAATTTTTTTCTGTTCAAGTTTAATACGAGATTTTCCCATATTTAGAAAAACAAAAACATACCAATCCAATGTTCCCATCAATCACTACCAATTAATGACAATCATGTCTATTTGAGATCTTCAAGAGATTCTTGTATTCTTTCAAGATAAGTGAGGTTTGCTATCCACATACTCTTCATCACATGTAAATCACTGCAGTTTAACACTTATAATCCATACATAGCTCTGCCTAGTAGTATACTGAAGGCTTAGATACAGTCCCACTGCTTTACTATCTAGAACCAGAACTCCTGGAGGTCTGTGGGTGGACTTAATGGAGAGAAGCCCTGAAACTATATGCAAAATTTTGCATATATATATGTTTCTGGGAAGCAGGTCCAAAACTTTCATTTTCTCAAAGGAGTCCGTGTCCCCTCCCTCCAGTGATTTAGACCATTTTCTGATACATAAAAACCCCTAATAATTAACTTCACTGTGAGCTTTTTTTTAAATAGTGAAAACCGCTTAGAATAAACCTCAGCAGGATAACTGGAAAAACCCCCCACACCTTTTCTTCATTGTTACTAATATGAAAATTAACCTCTCTTTCTGGCTTTGCAGTCATCCAGCAGAGCAGTTTCACTAAGGGTGAGTCTAAATGAATCAAGGAGTTAATAACAGAAGGCTTAGTTGTATACACCCCTCTGTAACTGACGGTCTGTTTCAGTGGCAAATTAGTCAAGTACTTCAGAAATTGATTCTTTCTTTCTTCGGTGTCTCATTCTAAAGGTACTGCTGAATACCTGTTGGAAGGTGAACAATCCGGACTGCACTGTCCGTGGTGTTTACATGCTGGCCTCCAGCTCCACTGGCTCGCTTAGTATCAATTCTCAGATCTTTAGGATTAATCACGAGGTGAATCTATACATAAGAGAAAAGTTGGGATTTTTGAAAAAATTATGCATACCAACTATTCAAAGACAGGAACTATCCATTTATAAATACGGTGAAACCTGTGAGAGCCAGAACTCAACGGGACTGCCTTGTTTTCTGGGTCTTGCAAGCTTCTGCCTTTGACAAGGTGCAGGTTACCACCTTCCTATTGCTCCTTTTAATGGAAAATATTTGAGTTTTCCTCTTCTGACAGGTTTCTACCTGACACAGGTTCTGGCTTTCACAGGTTTCACTCTATAAATATATGCCACATACAGAATGCATATGATTTAGGTTTAATTATAAGAATATAAAGCAGTTGGAAGGATACCATTTTTTAAACTTTTTTTGGAAGAGTAGGGAGTCAAAATAATTCTCAAAAACCAGGCTTCTCTATTAAATCACACTCTTTTCACCACATAAGCAGTAGAACTTAGCTACTGTGAGAAATGTGAATATGGTTAAAATGAGTTTTTTTAAATAAAACTTGGAAGTAGACTGCCAGGCCTTTCTTCTTAGGTGCCCCTGGGTGTACCCACAGCTGCAGCCTTTTGATTAGCATTAGCTGTTTGCACTGTCCAGGGATTTCTCTTAAAGAATGTTGTTTCTTGTTGGCTGCCTCTAGTCGGCCGCTGTGATCCCTAGGGTTTTCACTGGACTTTTTTTTTAAATCGTGCTTTAGATGATGATTTACAGAAAAACTAGCTTCTCATTAAACGGTTAGTACATATATCATTTTGTGACATTGGTTTTCAGGTTGCCACCCCCACAACATGTCAACACTCTCCCTTCTCGACCTTGGGTTCCCTATTACCAGCTTGCCTGTCCCCTCCTGCCTTCTAGTCCTTGCCCCTGGGCTGGTGTGCCCCTTTAGTCTCGTTTTGTGTTACGGGCCTGTCTAATCTTTGGCTGAAGGGTGAACTTCAGGAGTGACTTCATTACTGAGCTAAAAGGGTGTCTGGGGGCCATACCCTTGGGGTTTCTCCAGTCTGTGTCAGACCAGTAAATCTGGTCTTTTTTTTTTGGTGAGTTAGAATTTTGTTCTACATTTTTCTCCAGCCCTCTCCGGGACCCTCCTATTGTGATCCCTGTCAGAGCAGTCAGTGGTGTAGCCGGGCACCATCTAGTTGTGCTGGACTCAGTCTGGTGGCGGCTGTAGTACTTGTGGTCCATTAGTCATCTGGACTAATCTTTCCCTTGTGTCTTTGGTTGTCTTCATTCTCCCTTGCTCCAGACGGGGTAAGACCGGTGGACTATCTTAGATGGCTGCTCACAAGCTTTTAAGACCCCAGATGCTACTCACCAAAGTAAACGTAGAACATTTTCTTTATAATTATGTTATGCCAATTGAGCTAGATGTTCCCCGAGACCATGGTCCCCACAGCCCTCAGCCCAGCACTTTGGTCCCTTAGGGAGTTTGGATGTGTCTATGGTGCTTCCATGACCCTGCCTTGGACAGGCTGTGCTGGCTTCCCCGGAATTGTGTACTGTCTTATCCTTCACCATAGTTACCACTTATCTACTGTCTATTTAGTGTTTTTTCATTTCCACTCCTCCCCTCCCTCATAACCAGCAAAGATTGTTTCTTTTCATGTGTAAACTTTTCATGAGTTTTTTATAGTAGTGGTCTCATACAATATTTGTCCTTTTGTGATGGACTTATTTCACTCAGCATAATGCCTTCTTGATTCATCCGTGTTGTGAGAGGTTTTCACAGATTCATCATTGTTCTTTATCGTTGCGTAATACTCTATTGTGTGTATGTACCATAGTTTGTTTATCCATTCATCTGCTGAAGGGCTTCTAGGTTTCCATCTTTTTGCTACTGTGAACAATGCTGCAGTGAACATGGGTGTGCATATGTCTATTTGTGTGACAGCCCTTATTTCTCCAGGATATATTTCTACAAGTGGGAGAGTGCCGGATCATATAGTATTTCTATTTCTAGCTTTCTAAGGAAGCACCTTATCATTTTCCAAAATGGTTGTACCATAAAATGAGAATTTATAGTGTACTTCTGAATTAAAAAAAAATTTAGAAGAAAAAGCAATGTTAGCTTGATGACTATGGGAAGGGTTTACTTTATTTGATTTTAAATAAAAGGGAGTCATACACATCTGGAGGCAGAGGTGAGGCAAATGGAAATGACAAAGGCCAAGAACTCAAGGGTAAAGGCTCAATTCATGAATACACTGGGATCTGACGTCAGGATAATGCTCTGTCCTGGGAGTCGCCATTGGAACCACTAGATTTAAAAAAAGCTGTTTCCTGAACAATACCGTGACACGTCTATAACACTTGCAGTAGGAATCTTATCATTCCATAGGCCTGCCATGTCCCCCTGAACAATACCGTGACATGTCCATAACCCCAACAGTAGGAATCCTACCATTTCATAGGCCTGCCGTGTCCCCCCGAACCATACCGTGACATGTCCATAACCTCAGCAGTAGGAATCCTACCATTCCACAGGCCTGCCGTGTCCCCCCAAACAGTACTGTGACATGTCCATAACCCCAACAGTAGGGATCCTACCATTCCATAGGCCTGCCGTGTCCCCCCGAACAATACCGTGACGTGTCCATAACCCCAACAGTAGGAATCCTACCATTCCATAGGCCTGCCGTGTCCCCCCGAACAATACCGTGACGTGTCCATAACCCCAAAAGTAGGAATCCTACCATTCCATAGGCCTGCCATGTTCCCCTGAACAATACCGTGACATGTCCATAACCCCAACAGTAGGAATCCTACCATTCCATAGGCCTGCCATATCCCCCTATCTGGCTCCCTCTTTGAGTTGCCAAAAGAATTAAATGAGATGATATATGGATCTCAGTCTCCATCTTTTTGAAGTGACTAGTGTCTAGAGGTGGCTCCTGCCCTTATACTACTTCACTCTCCACCAACTGTTCTTTTTCTCATGTAGGCAGCACATAAAAATTAGATCTAAAGAAAGGAAGTCCGTTAACCCTGTCACAGAGTCAAACAGCACTCTTTCGCCAAATTAATAAACAGAAACCCTCAATTAAAAATCCCTTCACCCCAAAATACTAATACTTCACTCTGAAAAACAAGACAAATATTTCCTATCATGTAAGAGTAGCTTTCCAGAAGAATGGCTGCAGGCAAAATGGAACTTCCCAACTATTTTACAAATACAATATAAACAGAATTTGCTTTCTGAACGTGAAGTATACTCATTACCAACACTGTAACAAGACACTTCCATTTTAATGGCTTTGGGTTATGAAGTAGCAATTCTGTTAAGTCATTACCCTTGTTAAAACAGAACGCTTGCTGTTAATACCCTGGGAACCAGTCACACAAAGCAAAAGTCATCATAAAGACAATCATTCTTAGACTCTCTTTCAAATAGAATAAAACCTAATCCTTTTAGCAAAGAAAAAGTTAATATTGTTTCACCTATGGAAATGGTCCCACAATATCTAATGTTAATGGTAGAGAAAAATTCATAAATTGATAAAGCAAGACAAGACCATTTATAAACCCTTAATTCTTACCAACTATTGTTAAAATTAATACTTTTTGGACTGAGATCCTAAATTCTCAAAAGCAACTCAAAAATAATATGCTGAAGGCCAAATGATAAAGACATACTTAATTCAATACACACAGCGTGTTACCCTGGAGGCGAGAGCCACGCTGGCCCCGGGATTCCAGGAATGAGGAGGTGACGATGCCTCACCTCGGCAGGCTGGGGTAAAATCGCTACAGTCGTCGTGCTCGTGTGGATGCGGCCCTGCCTCTCTGTCTTTGGCACTCTCTGCACTCTGTGCACACCTCCTTCAAACTTCATGTGCTTATAGGCCTCTGCACCCCCAATGCTGGCAGATGCATGTCTCAGGCCACCTGGATAAGATAGGGAAAAGGGAATTCTTTTATTATTCCTGCCATTTATAAATAATTGGCCATCACTTCTACTATCTAGAAATATACTTAAAAGAGTCACAAAAGAATACCATGTAAGCATACAGACTGTAAACCATATTAATTAAAAAACTTTAGCAAGTCTATAATGTTCAATGTTTTAATGATTAATATTATTGCTTACATTATTAAACATAAAACATGTATAGTGCTAACGAACTGATTGACTAACAGATCTAAAAGACCACTCTTAAAAGGCCACTAGTCATTCAATGGTTAGTATTACTGAATGACTAACATTTCATAGGCCATTTCAAAACTGGTATATTTGCATTCAAAATTATTAGGTAAATGATGAGTATACTACTACTTAAGTATCTTTGCAAACAAATTCTCAGGCCTAGCAATGGTCTTTCCAACTCTCTTCCTAGGACACATGCAGATAAATTAAATCTACACATTTACTCAAAACAAATCAGTTTACTGACCTATTTCACTTGGAAAGTATTCCAGAGGTTCAAAATGCCACCTTTTAAATGCAGCATACTGCTGATACATCTCAAATATCTCTGAAGTAAACAGCATTGCCTCCTGACCCCCAACTCCTGCAGTTACCTCCAGGATCAAATCATTTTCATCTGTTTCTTCTGAGGGAACCAAGAGTAAGATAATCTGTAAATACAAAAATACCATCCCTTATGTAATTAAGAACTACTTAAAAGTTAATGCATAACTTCCAGAAAATATAAATACTACAACTATATTTTAAATGCTCTAAGGTTCAGCTAATGCTTATAGGCTTGTTTTTATTTCTTTTGGGAGTTCGTGTATACTTTATATCATTTATAAGAATTAAATGCTTGCTGTGAGTAGGACCCTATACTGTATGTATGCAAAAGAAATAGATGATTATAGCTCTACCCTCCTGAAACATAAGGCCTTGTTGGGCAGAAAAAGAGCACTGAACTTGTTTTTTTTTAAGCCTACTTAATATGGAAAATAAACTTGCAATTTTGGAACTGACAGGGCCCTTAGAGATGATCGGTCTAATTCCCTCATTTTACATGTACAAGAAACTAGGTTAACAGAGGTTAAATGCTTGTTAAATGGCAAAGTGCTCCTTACTGGCAGAGCAGGCACAAGAACTCAAGTCTCAGGACTCCTAGATCAGCCCTCCTTCCATTACAATAGTATGTTTCACACTTATGTACTAGTTAAAGGGATACAGAAAAAGGCTTCTTAGAACAGGTGGATTAGTAAGAAAAGCTACCAACATTTACTGGTTTCTTAACCTATGCCAGGAACTCAAAGCACTTAACATACTTTAATTCCTAAAATAATCTTGGGTAGCTTTTAACATTTCTACCTTAAGATGTGAAAACTAAGTTTAGAGGGTATTATGGATTGAATTGTGTACCCCCAAAATATGTGTTGTAATTACTAACCTGTAGTGGGGGGGCCCTGGTGGCACACTGGTTAAGAGCTATGGCTGCTAACCAAAAGGTCAGCAGTTTAAATCCACCAGCCTCTCCTTGGAAACCCTATGGGGCAGTTCTACTCTGTCCTATAGGTTGCCATGAGTTGGAATCAACTCAAGAGTGACAGGTTTGCTTTTGTTTTTCATATCTGTGCTTATAATCCCATTTGGGAATGGGTTTTCTTTGTTATGTTGATGAGGCAGTATTAGTGTAGGGTGTGGCTTTAAAGTCAATCTCTTTTGACATATAAAAAGAGCACACTGAGCAAGCAAGCAAGCAGACATGGGGGAAGACAGATGTCATGCTACATGAAGATCACCAAGGAGTTAAGGAACAGAAGCTGAAGAGACAAGGGCCTTCCCCCAGGGCAGACAGAGAGAGAAGGCCTTCCCCTAGTGCCGGCACCCTGAATTCAGACCTCCAGTCTCCTAAACTGTGAGAAAATAAATTTGTTTGCTAAAGCCACCCACTTGTATTTCTGTTATAGCAGCACTAAGTAAGACAGAGGGGTTGAGTTATCTAGCTGCCCAATATCACTCCACTAAAAAGTGGAAGAGCTAGAACCCAAATCTACTTGATTTCTGAACTGTCACAGTTTATGTTGGTTGGGGGCTATACCTGTTACCACTTTCCATCTCTCTAGCCTATGGCGATACAATGTGATCATTTAAAAGTTGAACTAATAAATGACAGACTTTACTTCTGTTACTAGCCAACGAACAGAAACCGTTAATATAAATTTCCTTCTAGTTCACAAAAAAAATTTAGAAAATAGGTAGAAGGCAAGCTACACTAGAATTTTCACCCTATACTGGAACTTTCCCTGTAGGGTAGGTGAAGGGGACACTGATTTTCAGTAAGTTCCACGTTTGGCTAGAGAAGAGACAGGATCTCTAAAATAAGCCCCCTTCTTCATCTTAACATGTTCTTTCACTTACATCTCCAGAGATAACTGCTGTAAACTTTTAAGCTCTGCTTTATAGAATTAACGAAGAGCAAAGCCTGGTTCCAATTTCATATGATGCTTCCTCTTCATTTAACTCCTATAAGTTCTCCTGCAATCCTCTGGGATATAAAACCAAAGCAATACAATTCAGTTCTTAAAAATATGAGGGCCTACTCTAGGTCTCACCCAGAATGCTCCTTAGAAGGATGAAACTTCGTCTTATCTACTTTGGACATGTTATCAGAAGGGACCAGTCCCTGGAGGAGGACATCACGGTTGGTAAACTAGAGGGCTAGTGAAAAAGAGGAAGACCCTCAACGAAATGGAATGACACAGTGGTTGCAACAATGGGCTAAAACATAGCAATGATTGTAACGATGGCACAGGACCTGGCAGTGTTCCCTTCTGTTGTACACAGGGTCGCTATGAGTCAGAACCAACTCAGTAGCACCTAATGACAACAATAGCTCAAATGCTTTATTTTTGCAAATATCATACCTGATGTTTCAACTGAGTTATTTCTTTTTGACACAAAGTTATTTCATTCTCTGCAAGCTTCCTTAAGTCTTCATTCTCATCTACAAAAAAAGGCAGCAGGTTAAGTTTTCCATAATTAGTGTTAAATTGCCAACAGATTTCAGGGTAATAGTTTTATTGTTACTGCAGCTGAAGAGAAAAACAAAATGTCTATCTTGCTCCTTTAATAACTGCAATTAAAAGTAGCATTTTATACAGTAGACTTCATAAGCATATAGCTTAAAAAAAATTTTCTGATGACAAAAGAAAGTCTAATTAAAACTAAAAATAAAGAAAATCATAAAAAAATGAGGCTAATTAAAAAATCTTCTATACTCCCACTGCCGTAAAATAATACGAACAAATATGCTTAGTGTTCCAACTTAGCCTGTATTAATGAAGAATGAATGCGTTGAGCTAGTTAGAAAGACCAGAAGGGGAATAGAAGACTCCATTTAAACCAAAATTATAAAGGTAAAAAGTTATTATCTTATCAGTAAATGTTTCATTAACGTAAGTGTACACGCAAACATTTTGACTCTGCCTAATGTTTACAGAACACTGACATGTTGTAGTTGTCTCTCCTGTCTTTCACCCTAATTCTTGTTAATCCTTGAGTTGTTTTTACCTTACAAAATATACTGTCTCTTATTTGCCCTACCCTATGGACAACATGAAGGAGCTCTGGTGGCACAGTGGTTAAGCGCTCGGCTGCTAACCAAAAGGTTGGTGGTTCGAACCCACCATATGTTCCCAGAAAGATCCTTCTGTAAAGATTCCAAAAAAACCAAACGCGTTGCCATCGAGTGAACTCCAACTCATAGTGACCCTATAGGACAGAGTAGAACTGACTCATGGTTTTGAGACCGTAATCTTTATGGAAACAGACTGCTACATCTTTCTCCCAGGGAACATCTGGTGAATTTGAACTGCTGACCTTTCAGTTGGAAGCACAGCACTTAACCACTGAGCCACCATAAAGATTTAAAGTGTTAAAAAGCAAAAATGTCGCTTTAAGGACTGTGTGCCTGACCAAAGCCATGGTGTTTTCAGTCGTCTCATATGCATGCAAAAGCTGGACAATGAATAAGAAGACGAAAGAAGAACTGATGCTTCTGAATTATAGTGTTGGTGAAGAATACTGAATATACCATGGACCTGCCAGAAGAACAAACAAATCTGTCTTGGAAGAAGTACACAGAATGCTTCTCAGAAGTGAAGATGGTGAGACTTTGTCTCAGATACTTTGGACATATTATCAGGAGGGACCAGTCCCTGGAGAAGGACATCACGCTTGGTAAACAGAGGGTCAGCGAAAAAGAGGAAGGAAGACCCTCAATGAGATGAACTGACACAATGGCTGCAATAATGAGCTCAAGCATAACAAAAACTGTGAGGATGGCGCAGGACCAGGCAGTGTTTCATTCTGTTGTATATAGGGTTGTCGAATTGGAACCAACTTGACAGCACCTAACAACAATACAAAATGCTGGACTTGAAGCGCTTACTGATGAAGATCAAGGCCTACAGCCTTCAGTATGGATTACACTTCAACATAAAGAAAATAAAAATCCTCAGAACTACACGAACAAGCAACATCATGATAAACAGAGAAAAGGTTGAAGTTGTGAAGGATTTCATTTTACTTGGATCCACAATCAATACCCACGGAAGCAGCAGTCAAGAAATAAGCTTATTTCATTGGGAAAATCTGCTGCAAAAGACCTCTTTATAAAGTGTTAAAAAAAGCAAAGGTGTCACTCTGAGGACTGAGATGCACGTGTCCCAAGCCACAGTATTTTCAGTTGACTCACATGCACGCGAAAGCTGGACAATGAATAAAGAAGATCGAAGAAGAATTGATGCCTTTGCATTATGGTGTTGGTGAAGAATGCTGAATATACCATTGACTGCCAGAAGAATGATTAAATCTGTCCTGGAAGAAATAGAGCCAGAATGCTTCTTGGAAGTTAAGGATGGTGAGACTTCATCTCAGGTATGTTGGACATGTTATCAGGAGGGACCAGTCCCTGAAGAAGGACATCATTTGGTAGAGAGTCAGTGAAAAAGAGGAAAACCCTTGACGAGATGGACTGACATAGCAGCTGCAACAATGGGCTCACATGTAGCAGATTGTGAGGATGGCACAGGGCCAGGGAGTGTTTCGTTCTATTGTAATAGGTCCCTGTGAGTCGGAACCGACTGGATGGCACGTAACAACAAGATGCTGCAAATCTGCTGTTCTTGAACCTGTCTTCTTCCTTAATTAACAGAGTACAGTGGTTAAGAACATGAGATTTGGAGTCAGTCAAATCCAGCCTCTATTTCTTGCAACCATGAGCGGAATTATTTTACCCCCCCCCGTCTCAGGTTCCTCTTCTAAAAGAGCCTACCTCATAGTTTGTTACGTGAAATTAAGAAAGCTAAGCAAAGCCTGGAGCATGGTCAAGCGCTCAATTAAGCTTAGGCAGTCCCTGGGTTACAAATGTCTGACTTACTACGTACAACCTGTAGTTATGAACCAACCTCACTAAAGCCTATTATATTAAATTTGCGGTACATACAATGGTTCAGTATAACAAAGGGGCACTAATTTGTGACATGCATCAAAACATTGTAATTATTATTGTATCATGTTAGATGTTTCGTGTATCTGGAAATGTTTAATTTTTTTATACATAGAAAGGTACACCATATACTATATGTATATACTGTATACTGAGACAAAACACTTGTCTAACGGGTGTTCCAGCACCTAACTCTTCCGACTTACATACAAATTTGACTTAAAGAGACTTAGGAACAGGGCCTGCCTGTATCATGTCCTTTAAGGGTGGGCTTTTCTCCCTCTGTAAAGCCTTCCCAACAAGTTGTTCTTGCTCTCCTAGGCCTTTATTCACATACTTGTTCTTACTTATCAGCTGCATTATAATATATTTACTTCTGTCTCCCCAAGTAGACCCTCTATAGAGCCTTGCTACTGAAGGTGTGGTTCTTGGACCAGCAGCTCGGCATCCCCTGGAACTTGAAGAAAGGCAGAAACTCAGGGCTCATCCCAGATCGTATGCACATGTATCACCTGGGAAACTTGTTCAAATGCGTATTCCTAGGTCTCAAGTGTCTGAGTCATTAAGTGCGGTTTTAACAAGCACCTCTCCTGATATTATTAGTGCAGGTGGTCACCTCACTACACTCTGAGAAGCACTGCTCTAGAGCACAGGACAACGATAGCGTCTTATTTGTCCTTAGTGGGCTAATAACCTCTCGGCAGAGTATGCAGCCAATAAACGTCAACTTAATTGCTACAGAAGGGGACGGAGCACTGTACCATGGGCGCAAACACGACAGAAGCAGAACGCACCACGCTCACCCAAACCAAAAAAGGCTGCGCCTGAGTAAAGAGCCTCAAACCCGGGTAGACTGCGGGCACCCTGGACAGCAGCCTAGCGGAAAAGGCAAACGAATTCCCTCTGCATCCGCTCCCTGGGCCCGGCCCGTACCGTGCAGCAAGTGCTCGGTCTCCCGCAGCTCCAGCTCCTTCTCGCTCAGCAGTTTGGCCACCACTGCCAGCTCGGGCCCCCTGGCCTGCAACTGGACTTCAGACTTTGCATGGCGCTCGAGGAAGGCCCGCAAGGGTCCGCCGCGGGCGAACAGCTCCTCCAGCGGCGGGCTTCCGCTGCTTAGGGACCGGCGGGCCGGGACGAGAGCTCCGCGGGACCGCAGGCACCGAGCCGCCTCCCACAGGATACGGGCCCGCATCGCGAGGCCAAACCCATCGAGCGCTACCAGGCCGGAAGTTCCGGACAGAACAAGTCTCGCGACACGGTGAGGAGCTCGGAAACGGGCGAGAGCTTGCCGCACCCCGCCTGCGCACGCGCTGGGTTTAAAAGGCCTCCTGGCAGCTGCGTGAAACTTCCGGCCGCGCATTAAAGGGGTAAATTGGTCGCCGAGGCCGGAAGCTGAGGGGCAGGTCGGAAAGCAGAAGGGGTGGGGCTGTCGGCCCTGCCGCTGTCAAGCCAGCGGAGGGAGGTTCCTGCGGAGCGGTTAATTGACCCAGGGCACTTTTAAAACGCTCGGTCAGAATCACTTTCTCGCGGGACCCGCGCAGCGCTCGGGGACGGAGGGGGAGAGTTGCGGGTAGCCACACTGTTATCTGGCGGCGAGGATTTATTTCCCAGGCAGTGAGCGACGGCTTCAGGTAGCGCAGTGGAGGGCAGTCTAGTGTCCGCTACAAGGACTGAGGTCTCAGCCACGAAAGACCTCTTCAGTGCCAGCGTGGCCTTTCATCTCTAAGAGGGAAATACAGAGTGGTCATTAGTGTGTGTGCGTCTGTGTCTTTTCGGCGGTGGGTCAGGCTCGAGTTAATGAGAATGTGACAAGTATATTGTAAGGCAACCACGGAGTGGTATTGCAGAAACTACTTTCCTGCCCTTTATCTGCCAAGTAACTTACTTGCTTTCATACAGCTTCCTTCCTCGCCGAGCCAGCTGTCGGCCCATCTCACGTACTCATCGTTATTGTCAGCTGCTTTTTTAAGAGGTTGATTCCGTGTTCCAGCAAAACCTTCCGAGCCCTTTCTCCGGTGCCCCAACCCCCATCTCTCCTCTAAAACTGCAGGTGGCAGAAAGGCGCAAGGAATTCTGAAATTTATTGGAATAATGCTTTGCAGTTCTCAAAAAACCTTTTCACAGCCCACCAGAGGAATGGATATGAGAGAGTAAGTACAACCAAGGCATACCTGGGGGATGATGGAACACTTGGCAATTCCCACTACCTAACCTACCAGACACTAAGTGCTGAGTGTTTACACTGTTGACAGAGCTGCAACAGCCTGTAACTTTTTCTTTTTAAAAAAAAAGAAAGCGAGAGCCCTTGACAAGGTTAAAACATCCTTAAGTCATCTAATCAAAACCATCCAGGTTAAGTATAAAATTCTTAAAAAATGAGTTTACTTTGCCTCTGTTCTTCCCTTTACACTGCGTACAAATGCGAAGTCAAGTTGAAGAATCAAAGAACTCGCCAAATAATATACAGCAAAAATAGGTTTGCTACTTAAAAGCTCCAGCTGATGACCTCAATTCTTTAATTTTGAATTCATATTCAAACCACACTGCTTTATAAAATTGTTTCTCTTTAGGATAGTGGTAGCTATCACACATTGTTTTTTTAACTCTGTTCTTAATATAGAACAAGATTGGCCAGGTTGTTTACATCTCTATTCGTAAGTTTATTTTCTAAACCTAAACTCAACTTTGATTTTTTTTTTTTTTTTGGACCATAGAAATGCTGGGAATCATTTGAATTCAAAGTGATAAATCTCTCACCTGAGTTCTCAAAACATAAATAATTGCAAGAATATATTATAAAAGGTGCAAAATTGTAATAAACAATAACCTTACAGAACAATGTAAAGAATCCAACCAAAATTTATTCTTTTCCCTCAGATGCAGAAACACTTTTAAGTAAAACACATAATTAAGTGTACGTTTTCTACACTGTTACAATGAGGAAACAGTAACTTGTCTAGGGATACATTGGTGAATTCTTTACAAACCAGTTTAAGAAAATCAGTATAATGCATATGCATTTTACAATAATATCCATAGGTTTCCACAATATAGTCAAATTAAAACAGTTGTAGTTTTACTTTGAAAACTCAATAAAACATACTTAGGGTGAGACTTCTGAATTTTTTTACATTATTGTCATGCTCAAATTCTGTTACACGTTGAAAAATCTAGCATTTTCAGGAAGTCTTATTGTACATAGGTAAAAAGATAAATTCAAGCAAAAGGAAAGAAAAGCCCAGGAAAACTTAAATGGAAGGAAAAATAATCTGGATTATCTCGTCAATTTATGAGCACCTACAATTATTCTGGCATTGCAAAATAACCAAGCATGGTGCCTCTTAAATTGTATTAATGCATTCAAAACTTCTTTGTGGTCCAGTAATATCAGTGGAGTCCAAAATATAGATCTAGATTATGAAGTACAATGAACATGGTAGTAAGAAATTACACATTTAATATAATAAAATTTACAGAATCAAACACATTGAAATTATTTTTAATATTTAGAAAAAATCCTAAAATCATATATGAGAAACATATTTGTGACAAATAGATTAAAGCTGGGGGGGGAGTATCAAGTCTTTTACATGATTTCAATATTCAGTGTTCATCGTTCTGTGGGGGGCAATATAGAAAAGCATTCAGCAAAGTGATTATCCATTTAAATTATCTCTTATGACAATAAGATTAAGATCTTTACTACCAAGGAATGTAGAGGATTTATGGTAATTATACAGGAAGTGGGAAAAAAAATGTTTTCACCTCCATTAAGTGACTATTCAAGCTAACACTGTTTTGGAGTTTTATTTTACCATTCACCTTCCAGTTCATTGTATTCATAGTATTCGTTAGAAATCATTTAATGGAATATAGTGGTGCTGAGGAATCTGCTCAATTTTTTTTTTTTTGAGCTCAGTGTAAGTGTCCAGGAAATTTACCTCTAATATAACCTCCTAGAAAATGTATAACTGAGGGTAACTTTACAATGGAGAAACCTAACAAAGACTACCTCAGCCAGGGGATAATGGTCAACATCAACAATGACATGTTGAAAAATCTCGCATTTGCAGGACGTCTATTATTGTACACAGGTAAAAAGACAAAATAGATTCAAGGAAAGGGAAAGAAAAGCACAGAAAAACTTAAGTCATGATGCTATTATGTACCCTTGATATCATGGGATGAGAATGGCACTTTACTTCTATGCTCTTTCTTCCAAAAACCAATAACCCCAGTCTAATCATGAGAAAAATATCAGACAAATCCCAACTGAAGGACATTATACAGAATGTTTGACCAGTACTCCTCAAAATTGTCAAGATCATCAAAAACAAGGAAAGTTCGGGAAACTGTCAGAACTAAGAGGAGGCTAAGGAGACACGATGACCAGATGTATTCTAGATGGGATTCTGGAACAGAAAAAAGACATTAGCTAAGAATCAAATGAAATCTAAGTCAAACATGGACTTGATAATGCATCAAGTTTGGTGACAGATGTCCCATATTAATGTAAGATGTTAACAGCCAACTCAGCAGGCGGCCTCTTGTATATCTTTGCAATTCTGTAAATCTAAAAACTCTTCTAAAATAAAAGAATTAGTAAAAAATTTTATGAACACATAAACCACCTTTTATTTATATTTTCTTGTCATATTTTCATGGTAAAAATTAAAGGACATCATACTACCCTAATATTAAAAAGGAGCCCTGGTGGTGTGGTGGTTAAGAGCTTAGGCTGCTAACCAAAAGCAGTTTGATTCCCCCAGCAGCTCCTTGGAAACCCTATGGGGCAGTTCTACTCTGTCCTGTAAGGTCAATGTGAGTGGAATCGACTCGACGGCAGTGGGTCTTTTGGTTTAATCTTAAAAAAAAAAAAATGCTTTCTATTCTATGCCAGTAGCAATGTTTTCTAATGGCCAATGTCTTAGAAGTTAAGTTTTCACTCTTTTGTTGTTAGTGGCTGTCAAATCCCTTCATTTATTTATTTATTTGGTAAATGACTTGATATTTATAGTCTTATCCTTGGGAATATTTTTTATTTGTTTTGGAAAATATAACTTTCAATGATCTATCTTATTTAAACTTTATTTTTAACTTAAATTTTTAAATAGCTCTCATTTTCCAATACCCATATGGCATTGAAAGAAACATATTTCTAGATTATAGGTTAGTGATGTTGGTGAACTGAAAACAAGGATTGTGAATCACATTATTGAACAATACCATATTGATACATCCTCCATCTTAAAATAAGCTTTTTTTTTCTTAATAGGAAATTAAATCAGATTTGTTAAATGTTTGAAAAAACAAGAAAATGCATTAAAATGACATTTAATACAGATATTCTTGAAAAATGGGGATTATTGATCTGGAGAACTTTGATAAAAATAATGTCCTATATAGCACTTTATTCTTTCCATGTTTATTTCATTTTATGTTCATAGTAATACTGTAAATTAAATATGTTCCTCATTTGCAGATGAGGAAACAGACTCAGAGGTTAAATGATTTGCCCAAGGTCAAATGAGACAGAAATGTAACTTGAAATAAAATTTGTAATTCTGAGTTCCCAACGTTTTTTAAGATGACACTCCATATATGAATTTGTGGACACACTTTTCCATTAGTAAGCATTATATGTGGCAACATTTTAATACAGCAATAAGAGCTAGATTGTTAGAAAGGACACATATCCAAGCCTAGTTTTCAATTTCTGTAACTATTGTTCTAAAATATGTATTTCTAACTGTTTAAAAGCTGGACTCCTATGACAGCAGTTTGGTTTAAGTCAACAGTTTTAAAATGCTGAAATTTCTGAAATAGGAGATTTAATATAAGAAATAATGAAGGGTGAATGAATTTCAGGTGTTGATCATATATGATGTGTTAGGAAATGTTACATTTGGTTATTGTCTTCATAGCTTTCCTGTTCCCACTCATCTTAGAGCTTTTGTTATAGGAAGAAATTAATCCTCAGAACTGCCCTTGCTATCAGGTAGGGTGGCAGCTTCTCTTTCGTGGTGTTTTCATTAGAATATAAGTTTTTAGTTTCCAGTTGAATTAATCTGAAAAGATTTCACTTTGGGCTAGAGGGGACTATACCTGTGATAGTAACAATTTCTAAACTACTCAGAAAATTAAAGATGGGTGTTTTTAAACAGTATTACACACTCCGCACTCTGTGTGTTGCAGGCATGTAGTAAGCGTGTTGCAGGAAAGATCTGAAACGAGTTTTTGGTGTCAGTTTTACTGATAAATATTTACACTTGTAGCAAGTGAAGGATTACTAAAATTTTTACAGATTGAATACTGTTCTCTCGGAATAAACATATTAATCAGAAATTTAAAATAACTGAAAAAAAGCACTCAAATATAAGTGTTTGCAAAATACACTTTGAAAATTAGGATCACAGACTGTCAATTATATATACACAACCAAGAAAATATTTTTGAAATATCTTTACCACCTTTCAAAATAATTTGCCAATGTGTCAAGCTCAAAAGTGTTCATTTTTGTTAGGTTCTATCTACAAGCATTTTAGATCTAAGAAATTTTAGGTGGTTTTCAGAAGGGTTCTTCTTTTCCTGATTTGTTTTAACTCCTCCCCTTTACATTTTTCCCCAAAGCATCTAATGTATTATTTGCAAATGTAATTTGTCACAATTACAATGATTTACTTTTTTCAGCATAAGTTAAAGAAAAAAATGGATAACTCAAAATTAAGCAGGCATTATTTTAAATCAGCTTAATGGGGTGAAAATGTATTTTTGCTCCTAATAAATAAACATTACCTATTTATATAGTCCTTTTGCAAAATGTAACTATCAGGTAAATATACAATATACATTTCATTCTGTAAGTAAGAACCTAAGCAGCATTAAAGGATCCTAATGAGCACCCCATGCACCATGACCAAATATCAGAACTGGTCATCCTATGTACATATTTTTTAGATTAAGGAAAAAAAAAAAAAAAAAAGACCACATTATGGTCTTGACATTTGTACTTCATAACTTTGATATAAAAATTGTGTTGCTCTTATTGTTCCTATGCCAGTACAACTACTGAGCTTCAAGCTGCTTCTAGAATACTGTCAGGGGATCAATACTACATTAGGGTAACATAATAGCAGCCAGAGTGAAGCGCCATCCATTATTAGTGTGATCTATATACAAGATCAATCTCTGAAGAAATCTGGCTCTCATACATATTTATATACTTTTCTTTCCATTGTAGACACATCTGAATTAGGCACTTTAGAAAGTGCATTAACCTCTTTCTGGTGCATTGGCACATTCTGAGAGTATGCAAAGATATTTTGGCAATCTAAAGTAGGAAGTGTCCCTTTTAAAGTGCTAATTTTTCCCCAGGGAGTAATTTACTCACTAGAAAAAATCAAATTCTACTAAAACAAATATTGTGCTCTTGGAATGGTAGCGTAGACATCAGTTGAGGACTTTTTTTTGTCCGTTTATTATAGCTCTGTAATTTAAACAGAAGGAATTATGCCATACTTAAAAAACTGGTAGTGGCAAACATACAGATGCACTCTTAGAAATTTTCAACATTTTGAAATTAAATGAGAACCTACTCCCACCTCCGAAAATAGTGCAGCACAGAAATACTCATCTAGCATGGCTACCAACATCTGATGTATAAATTTACTCTAGAACCATCCTCAATACAACTTCCTAATCATAATTCAAAAGGATATACCAGTTGTAAAATCTGTGTTCTACAAAGGCCCAGGTTAGAGACTAGGGCTCTTTACAAGGGCCCTTATCTTTTACATTTGGTAAAATATTAAAGGTATTGTCAAACAGACAATTCATCTAATAGTCCAAAGTATCTTATAAAGATAACTTATGGCTAGCAGGTCACCATCATATATAGTAACAACAAGAATATAAAGTCTACATTTAAAAGATGGATTCATGCGTTGTGTCAGAGTATGTTACATATTTTCTAGTCATGTGCACCAATTTATTGTGCTTCAAACGCAGAAACAAGTATGATATTACACCATATGTGTGTAGACATCATAGGAGCATAATAAACTCAATTCTAATCAAGAGTAAAATTAAATAATTTCAGGAACAATAGAACTTCACAACAGAAGTGATGATTCTTTTAGGTTTTACTTAACTCGTTAGGAAAAAAAAAACGGGCTTTTTGTAAACATCTTCATAGCTATCTTTTTCACAGCAACATTCTACTGAAAACTATTATTCAAATAGTAAATATCTAATGGACATGGATAAAATATGTCTTAACACAGTAACACTTTCAGACAAAACAGGCATTTATTAAAAGAAATGATTATAAATATTTTCTATCTTGCATTTTAACTACATTTTCATAAATAATGTATTTAAAAGTGCTGAGTATGGTAAGATAGTCAGCAACGCTAGTGTAAACAGAACATATTGTTTTCTACTCTGCAGACTTTTTTGAATCCCATTTTGTCAAACATTGCAACAGTTAAAATATTTGCATAGGGAATAGATAATAGCCCTTTGAATCATATCTCCTGAATTCTATATAAACTAGAAAATCAAATTCACTTAAAAAAACAATCCCTTAAATGTTTTAAGTTTATGGAAAAAGAAACTTACAATGCCAGCCTTCAAGTAAAATAAATTTAAAAAGAAACCCCAAACTTGTTTTTTTTAAAAATGTTTAATAAATTAAAAAAATGAGAGGTAGTTAAAAAAATGACAAAGAAAACCTATAATTTTAATATCATCCTTAATATAAGGCCAGTGTTCTCAGTGGATATAAATATTTTTAAAACTTGCAGTTTAAGTTACTCAGTATTATATTCATTCAGTTTAAGATTTAAAAAATAGCCTCCAGGGGGTATTAATATTCAAATGTAACACTTGATATAAACATGACATTGGTTATTATTATTTTTTATACATGACAGGATACTGTTTTTTCAAATGTCAAAAGTACATGCTAGTTGAGACAAGTATTCTGTCTTAAAGATTTAGTGGTACATATAAAAAATAATATGGCAGCTAGAAGACTTGAGCACTATAGTGCCTTGTAATTATGGATGAAAATTAATAGTTTGGTTTGAACATTTATAAAATAAGTTATTCTTATGATACTATGTGAAAACAGTTAAGGTCTGAAGTAGAGAATCATCTTCTTCATAACCCTTATAAAACTCTTCTTGGTTAAAAACTTAGCCTTTCACTGCATTTCATTTTCAAGGAAAATATGCCATCGGACAGATGCTAATCATCAAAACTTTGTATGCTACATGTTGGCATTCCTTTATTAAATCCTTTATATTCCAAAACTAAGTTATCAAGCTTTTTTTTTTTTTCTTGCTGAAGTACATAACTTTACACAATCATTTTAGAACTGGAGAGCCAGTCTTTAATAAATTACAGTATTGGACATCTGATATATACATAATTTTTTTCTATTACAATTAAAAACAATATCATTCATTGATTTGTCATTGAGATAGGCTATCTTCAAATTGTTTTGTGCTTTTTTTCTTCTTCTTTTTCTTATCTATTTTACATAGCAAACTCTTCCGTAATGAAAATGCCACGGTTTTGGCAGTGAACAACCAGAGGAATCTCCCCCCTCCCATTAGGATTTCCCAACAAACAGTTATAAATAGCTCTTTTTTCATGTACAGAAATAATAGCTTCAAAATTAGTGTACTAAACACAGTATATAGCATGTTGAATACCATTGTTACGTTTTTAAAAATTGGCTTTTTCTGTCTTAGATTAAGTTAAAAAAATGCAAACCACAGCCAGTTTTTGGCAATTATTTCTATAAGACCATATTGCACAAAAGTCCTTAAATACAGATATAAGTTATGCCATTGGATTAAATATTACAACAACTACGTGGCAAATGAAGCAGTTTTACTTCACACATGCAGTGTCTGGCGGTACACTAAGAGACTGTTCATAGGACTACAAATACAGTTTGCTTGCAAAGTAGAATGAATTGTTGAATAAAACAAACTTAATTTGGCAATTCATTTAAGTGTTATTTTCTTCAAACTTAACCATGGATAATCTTGATAAAAATGGAGACAAAAACCATAATGGTTGTATTGTTTTCACAGTAGCCTGAGGAATGCTAAACTGTAGTTCTCCAGGAACTCAGTTTCCGATGTTATTGAACTACATTTACTTCCCATCCTGGCCCTTCAAAATCTTTTTTTTTTTTTTTAATAAAAATTAAGATTCGGAAGAAGAGCCAGCAGCAGTACTTTCAACAAGTGACTTATAAATTTGAGAGTTCAAAAACCTTGGAAAAGAATCTCTGTGCATTAAAGTATATATCTGGAGTTGGGCATCTTCATACATGTGAGGATTAGGATCCAAGAGATTTCTATTGATCACCTCTCTAACTCGAGAATCGAGACTGACCTAAAAAGAAATAAGAGCAGATATGTTAATGTTTTTTTTCAAAAAGATCTCACTTAAGTACCTATAAGCTTGTGACATTTCAGAGAAACTTTAAAGAGTAAGTCCAACTACCTAAAAATTTGAGGTGTCTTTTCAAAGGCTACATAACCTTGTACACTTTTCTCCTTCAAAGACTGAATTAAACAAAAAAACTAGACTTTTATACTAAAAATTTCATGCACAGGTATCTTGGCTTACTTGGACTTATCTTTTCTACACATTCACTCAGGAGTTTTTGTGATTTCTGTTTATTGTTGAGGTGTTGTGAATTCCATAACAATACACCTACTCCTCACTTATCGACCATCTCGTTATCCTCATTTTGCATATATGAGAATAGTAAAAATCAACTATCCAATTATTTTGCACATTAACGACGTACGTCTGGCAGTAACAAATGCCAAGGTGTGAGGCAAGAGTAATGTTGGCTATGATGGTTATGTGTCAACTTGGCTGGGCCATGAATCTCAGTGATTTGGCAGTTATATAATGTAATTTGGCAGTTATGTAATGATGTAATCATTCTCCATTTTGTGATCTGATGTGGTCATCCTCCATTTTCATCTAATGCCAATTTTTGCATAACAACCTGGTCTTTGGAGCCTAATCATGTCGATGAGTAAGGTGTGTGTGTATAAATTCACCTCCTCCTGTTATGTGTCTGCCAGAAATGACTCTCTCCTGTGGAACAAAGTAAAAATCTACTGGCAGAGAAAATTCTCTAGCAAAATGAACCATATATCAAATGCTGATTCCCAATAGTTTCATATTTCAGCAAGTCCTACTGTGTCAAAAGTAGGCAATGGGAATGTAGAAGGGCTTAGTAGAGTGGCTTAGTAGAGTAGCAATGCAGCAGATGTTCTTCATGTCTTACTTCCACCTGGGAAGCCATAAGAAGCATCGTTACATAGGAAAATATCCAAAGATTTCTGTACTAAAGATAGAGTAGAACAAGTACTTGAAGTAGAATCTTTGAAAGGAGAAATGTAAGCATTCAGGATACCCAGTAATCAATACAGTGTTATTTGAAAAGAGTACAAAAAAATAAATTCTGTGGTAATTTAGTGATTTTTTTTCCCCATGAAATGCGCCAATCCTGTTGGAACTGGTAGGACTTGCTGGAAAGGGTGGTGGGGAAAAATAGATAGCAATAAGAGCACACCCAGGGAAAAGAACTAAAGCTTTGCCTGGAAATGATGTTAGAAAAATCCTACAGGTAGCAAACAATCACTCAGAATTCTGATTGGTTTCCTAAATCTTCATTATTGAGCAAGGACTAGGACATTGTGATCCTGAGTTATTTGTCTCCCCATGTACTCAAATCTATATAAACTTTTCATGTTTATATCTAAATGTTTACTCATAAGCATTTTACAGAACCTTCTTGGTTCTAGCTTCTTCTCCCACCACTGGACTAAGTCTGGAGTTGGAAACAATCCCAAGTGACTTAAGTCACCCCTATTCCATCTGGGGTCCACAGATTCCTGAGCTCTACAGACCATGTGGAATTGTGTTGACTGATATACTCCATTATTATGGGAGGATCTGTCAGGGGGTGGTGATCCAGGCTAAATTTCTGTGCTTTAGCTAGACCAACTTATATATATATAATTAAATCCTCTTGGCTGAACTATGTATTTTTCAGGAATTCTTTAAAAAAAGAATGTTCTAGAAATGGATCATTTAGGTTTTATTTTCTGTGATAGCCATATAAGGTCACTATCATGTACAAAACAAGAAAAGTACAGGTTTTTTTTTTTTTTTTTTTTTTGGCTAAGCTTTCTATTTTATCTAAAAATATCTTTGTGTTTCTCCTCAATAGGAAAATGTTGACATTGGAGTTTAAACTGATTCATCTTATTCTGAAGGATGTTATGGTAATGTGATATCTTACCCCATGCACTCCAAAGTTCTTGTAAATGGTGCTCTTACTTTCCAACTTGAGAGAACATTTTGTTTCGATGGAGAAGGTAATGTTAGATTAGTTATAAAGAAAGGGGGCCATTTATTTTTAAATAATAGCATAGTTAAATATAGTATAATGGCTTCCTATCAGTAGCTGGAATCTTGTTATCTTAGGAGAGAGAAATAAAAGAACTCAAATTATTAAATGTCTTGAGTTCTCATTGTTTAATTTTTTTTTTATTTAAAATTAAAAACTGTAGTGAAATGAGGTAGAGAAAACAGTGACTCTCAACATTTAGTAATCTGTGACAAAAATACATTTGGTATTTCCATTAAAAAATAAAATATTTACCTTAAAATCTGGTTCTTTGAAAGCGCTGTTGATCAGTCAAAAGATGTGTAGGGAGGTTAAATAACAAGGATAAACCCCACTAGTACAACAATCTAGAGTTTCATCTTGTGGCATTTATGTGCTTCCGTGGCATTTATGTGCTTCAGAATGTGAAACATCTAAAATACAAATTTGTTAAGGATTGAATTATGTCCCCCCAAAATATGCATTGTAAATCCTAACCTCTATGCCTGTGGTTATAATCCCATTTGGGAATGGGTTGTCTTTGTTATGTTAATGCGGAAGGATCAGTGTAGGGTGTATCTTGAGGCAGTCTCTTTTGAGATAGAAAAGAGAGTTAAGAAGCGAGCAGAGAAGAGATGGGATACGATAGATGCCAAGACACATGGAGATTTCCAAGGAACCAGGAAGCAGAAGCTGAAGAGACAAGGACTCTCCTCCAGAGACGACACACAGAGAATGCCTTCCCCTAGAGCTGGCACTCTGAATTCAGACTTCTAGCCTCCTAAACTGTGAGAAAATAAATTTCTGCTTGTTAAAGTCATCCACCCGTGGTATTTCTGTTATAGTAGCACTAGATAACTAAGACAGAATTTCGTACCAGGAGTGGGGTCCTGCTCTAACAGATACCTAAAATGTGGAAGCAGTTTTGGAATTGGGTAATTGGTACAGGCTGAGTTTTAAGGTGCCTAATAGTAAAAGCAATCAAGATGCACTGATAATTACTGCTGACTGGAATGCAAAAGTTGGCAACAAAGAAGAAGGATCTGTATCTGGTGATAGAAACAACGTCAGAGATCACATGATAGAATTTTGCAAGCCCAACAACTTCTTCATGGCAGATACATTTTTCAACAACATAAACAGTGACTGTACGTGTGGACCTCACCAGATGGAAAACACAGGAATCAAGTCGACAACATTTGTGGAAAGAGATGATGGAAAAGTTCAATATCATCAGTCAGAACAAGGCCAAGGGTAGACTGTGGAATAAGCCATCAATTACTCGTACGCAAGTTTAAGCTGAAGCTGAACAAAATTAGAACAAGTCCAAGAGAGCCAAAGTACAACCTTAAGTATATCCCACCTGAATTTAGAGACCATTTCAAGAATAGATTCGATGCATTGAACACTAATGACCGAAGACCAGACGAGTTGTGGGATGACATCAAGGACATCAAACATGAAGAAAGCAAAAGGTCATTAAAAAAACAGGAAAGAAAGAAAAGACCAAAATGGATGTGAGAAGAGACTATGAAACTTGCTCTTGAATGTCAAGTAACTAAAGCGAACAGAAGAAATGACGAAGTAAAAGAGCTGAACAGAAGATTTCAAAGAGTGGCTCGAGAACACAAAATATTATAATGAAATTGTGCAAAGACCTGGAGTTAGAAAACCACAAGAGAGGAACACACTCAGCATTTCTCAAATGGAATAAACTGAAGAAAAAAATTCAAGCCTCGAGTTGCAAAAGTGAAGGATTCTACGGGGAAAATACTGAATGGCACAGGAAGTATCAAAAGAAGATGGAAGGAATACACAGAGTCACTGTACCAAAAAGAATTGGTCAATGCTCAACCATTTCAGGAGGTAGCATATGACCAAGAACAGATGGTATTCAAGGAAGAAGTCCAAGCTGCATTGAAAGCACTGGTGAAAAACAAGGCTCCAGGAATTGACTGAATATCAATCGAGATATTTCAACAAACGGATGCAGTGCTGGAGGTGCTCACTTGTCTATGCCAAGAAATTTGGAAGACAACTACCTGGCCAACCAACTGGAAGATATCCATATTTATGCTCATTCCAAAGAAAGGTGACCCAACAGAATGCAGAAATTATCAAACAATATCAGTAATATCGCACACAAGTAAAATTTTGCTGAAGGTCATTCAAAAGTGGTTGCAGCAGTACATCAACAGGGAACTGCCAGAAATTCAAGCTGTATTCAGAAGAAGATGTAGAATGAAGGCTATCATTGCTGATGTCGGATAGATCTTGGCTGAAAGCAGAGAATACCAGAAAGATGTTTACCTGTGTTTTATTGACTACGCAAAGGCATTCGACTGTGTGGATCATAACAAATTATGGATAACATTGTGAAGAATGGGAATTCCAGAACACTTAATTGTGCTCATGAGGAACC